GACTCTGAAAGACCAGTAAGCACTCTTCACCGTTTGGCCATCTCTTCATTTCCCTGTTTTTAAAATTATGTGTACATTCAGCATGTCTATGTTCAGGTACCACATATGAGTGCAGGGGCCTCAGAGACCAAAGGATGATGCCAGATCCCCTGGAACTAGATACAGTTCATTTTTTTAGGTAAAGTTGTGATGTATCTAGATTTGATTTGAGAGTACATAGATTAAGATTGTACTTATGTTGATTTATTATATTTTTATAATGTCTGAGAAGGTGTGTGTGTGTGTGTGTGTGTGTGTGTGTGTGTGTGTGTGTGTTTCTCACTATGTATCCCAGGCTGGCCTTGGATTCACAGCAATCCTGCCATTAGACTCCTGAGTGCTAAGATTACAGGCATGAGCCACCACACCCAGCCTCTTCTGTTTCATAATGTGTAATACTCAATTGTGTTGGACATCTCCTTTTGGTGATAACTGGCCATCAGAATGTAAACTGCTTTAAATGTGCAGAATAACAAAGGGGACTTGCCCTTGCAAGAAAGAATGAGTCAAAACAGAAAAACAAGTTCTCAGCCAGGTAAACTGTCTTGTATAACTCTGAGCTGATGTGATGTTTATCCTCCTGTTGCCAGCCTCACCAGGTCTTGACATATGTAAATATTCAGGAAAGCAGAAGCCCAGCTGAGCATGGTAAGTACAGCAAATGCACACTTTGGCTAAATGCTAGATGTGAAAAGGAACACACACAACCGTACACAAGATATGGTTATTGATGGTATATTATAAATGATAACAATGATAACAACTCACACGGGCACTCTGAGTCACCAAGAACCCAGATGCCTCCAAGACCTGGCCTGAACCTCTCTCTGTATCCTACCCCTCTACGTACGTGGTCAGCGGTACAGGTGTCCAGGGTCTCTCCATACACAGATGGAGTGGTAAAATTACATTTGAGCAGAAAATGATCTTTGCTGGATGCCAGTATCATAGATTAAAATCCTGTCACATTAGAATAAAGGCAAATTTGTTGTTAAAATTATCATTCCAAGCAGGGTTGTGGTGGTGGTACATGTCTTTAATCCCAGCTCTTGGGAAGCAAAGGCAGGCAAAGCTCTGTGAGTTCAAGGCCTGCCTGGTCTATCCTAGCTAGTTCCAAGACAGCCAGGACTGTCACACAGAGAAACCTTATCTCACACAAAAAAAATTATCATTCCAACCTGGCGTTGGTGGCGCACACCTTTAATCCCAGCACTCGGGAGGCAGAGGCAGGTGGATCTCTGTGAGTTCGAGGCTAGCCTGGTCTCCAGAGCGAGTGCCAGGATAGGTTCCAAAGCTACACAGAGAAACCCTGTCTCGAAAAACCAAAACCAAAAAAGGGCTGGAGAGATGGCTCAGAGGTTAAGAGCACTGACTGCTCTTCTAGAAGTCCTGAGTTCAATTCCAGCAACCACATGGTGGCTCACAACCATCCGTTATGAGATCTGGTGCCCTCTTCTGGTGTGCAGATATACATGGAAGCAGAATGTTGTATACATAATAAATAAATAAAATAAAATAAATTGTCATTCTAATTTTATCATTTAAATTTTAAGGGCCTGGAAAATGGCTCAGTGGATAAAGTGCTTGCCGTGCAATCAATGTGGATCCTATTTTGTATCCCTGACACCCATATTAAAAAGATGCTTCAGCAACTACACCTGTAAGCCTAGTGCTGAGGGCATCGAGGCAGGAGGATCTCTTCGACTTGTCACTTGTCAGCCAGCTAGCAAGAGTCATTGAGCTTCAGGTTTAGTGAGAGACGCCATCCCCAAAACCAAGGTAGGGGAGTGACTGAGGAGGAAACCTCGGGCTTCCACATGTGTCCATGCATATTCATGTGCACGTGCACACCCACCTGCTCTCTCACACACAAACGCAAGCCCACACATACACAAAAGAAACAAGTACCAGGTGGTGACATGGCTCAGTGGGTAAAGTCACCAAGACTGACAATCTGAGTTTGAATTTCAGACCCTACAGGAAGGAAGGAGAGAGCTGACTTCACAGATTGTCCTCTGACCTCCACAAGTGTGCTGGGGTAGACATGCACCTACACACATATACACCCATCATCTTGCACATACACACTGTACACGCTAATAATGAATACGATAAAAACAAGGAATACATTTTAGAAGTCTAATGTTCTAGTCTGACATTATAGGGCAAAGCACCGTTTTTCATTGCTCTTGCCTGTCCTAGTGCTCCTGTCGTCATTGTAATGTATCTTCTGCAATGTTTCATACATGCACATCTTAACAGTAGTCCGTGGATGACTAGTATCCCGGGTTTGAATGTCCTTGCCTGGTAGGGTGCTCATGTATTATTGCTACCAGTTTTATGAGCTTCCTTGTTTTCCCAGTGATAATTGACAAGGACCTGTCTTGTAGACCAAAGGATGGGCGTTGTCTTCCCAGAACACTTTCTTTTCCATTTTGAGATAGGTCCTCTTGTTTATGTATTCCAGAATTTTATATCTTCCTGCCTCAGCCTCCAAAATGCTGGCATGACAGGACTATATCACCATGCACACCTTAATTTTCTAAGCCATGCAATTATTCCTAGAACCACCAAAATTTTTTCATAAAATTCATAATATATGAATCAATGAGAAGTAAAACTTTCATTGACTTGGAAGAGACAGGATGTTTTCCCCAGACCCTTTCTCAACACTCAGCTTTACTCTATATGCAGTTCACTTCTCTTTTTATCCCAGGGAGCCTGCGCACAGTCCTTGGCTTCTGTCTCCTTATTATAGCCTAAGAACCAGCGACTTAGCCTCTCTCTTGTCAAGCTTCAGCCCTCCTCTGACTAAAACTCTGCCTTCCTTTGCCCACATCTACATACGGAGTGGGGGGCTTGCAGTGTGTCAGCATTAGCTGCCACTCCTTGGGAGTTATCAATCTTGGTTTTTAAGACAGGGTCCCTTGGTAAACTATATCCTCTCTGTTGAAATTACAAGTGTGTAACACCACACTGGCTTTTTTTTTTTTTTTAACATTTTTTATTTGAATTAGAAACAAGATTGATTTACATGACAATCCCAGTTCCCTTCTCCCTCCGTCCTCCCCTACCACACCCCCAGCTAAAACCTTGCCTGTCACATATCCTTTCTTCTATTCTTCACCTGACTCAACCTTTCTGCTCCCTCATGACCTCTGCATCCTTCCTCTTCTTCCCTTCTTATTCTTGTAGCTCCCTCCCTTTTTCCGTGCTCTCAATTTGCTCAGTGGCTCGTGACCCTTTCCCCTTCTCCAGGGGACAATGTTTGTCTCTTTTAGGGTCCTCCTTGTTTATTAGTTTCTCTGGCAGTGTGGATTGTACGCTGGTAATCCCTTACTCTATGTCTAAAATCCACATATGAGTGAGTACACATCATGTTTGTCTTTTTTTTTGTTTTTCGAGACAGGGTTTCTCTGTGTAGCTTTGGAGCCTATCAGGGCATTCGCTCTGGAGACCAGGCTAGCCTTGGACTCCCAGAGATCTGCCTGCCGCTGCCTCCCAAGAGCTGGGATTAAAGGCGTGCCCCACCAACTCCCGGCCACACTGTCTTTTTATGTGAGTGATGGGGATCAAACTCATGCTTGTATAGCAAGCCCTTTACGGACTGAGCCATCTTCCAAGCCCCTGGGTAATCTTACTATTCACCTACCTTGGCTTCCTAAGTGATATTGTCGGCTCTTATCATCATCATACTAGCCTCTTCCTGCTGCTTTTAACGACACTTGCAATTACTTCAGGCTCACTGAAATAATCTACGTTGCTCAAATTAGCAGCATTAATTCCATTTAAATTCCCATTGGCCAGCCAGGTGTTGGTGGCGCACCCCTTTAATCCCAGCACTCGGGAGGCAGAGGCAGGGGGGGCTCTCGTGGGT